AGAGCGTCTTCAGCTGCAAGTTGTTTCATACCAGCGATCTCTACCTGGCTTAGCGCCACTTCCAAGGCTTGTTTACTCTGTTTAACTTCTTCAGTAGCTTCCTCCAGCTTCCTCAGAATCCCTATACTCGAGATGTTAGCAGAGAATTCCTCGTTATTTAGTGCTTTTGGCGTTAAAGGAGATCTTGGAGGAGGCTCCGGAAATTGAAACTCTGAAGGGTCCTCGCTTTCGCCACTGGATAATCCGGTCATTTCTGCAAACGCGAGTGCTTCAGCTGCTCTTGCAGCTTCTTCCATCTTTCTTGCAGCAATCAGTCTCATCTCTGCAGTTCTCAGACAGGTCTTCTTCTGCTGTTGGATACCCGTTTCATCGGTTTCAGCGACCATCTTAACCTGTTCTCTTGGTGGGTTGACGAGGAAAGTGTCACTCGGTTTCCTCGGAGAATTCGGGACACCGGCTTTGAATATCTCACCTTCATCAGGGATCTGTGGCTTTACCCTCCTCCGGTTCAGTTCACCAGCAAACTCGAAAGTTAGCCTTGTTCGGGCCGTTTCAAGGAAATCTTTCTCTTCCTTCATTTTCGTATTAAGAGATTCGACAGAGGATTGGATCACGCCAAGGTCGTTTATTGTTTTACCGAGATTCATCTTTGCTTGCTTCAGTTCCATGAGGATCAGATCGGGAGAGGACAGAGGATTGTGAGGGAGATCATTGCAGTGTTCGCTGTCCATTTCCTTGATGTCTGAACGGACATGTTCTGGAGTTGACATGCATCTCAAGGCTTCTTGCTGCAGCTGTCTCTTCAAGTCTTCCACGATCCTTTTGGTAGAGCCGAGTGCTTCCAGAACATCAAGAGTTTCGAGCTCTTTCACTATCAGATCCTTCTCAAGCTCCGCCGCCTTCTCTTCCATCCTCTTTATGTCAAATTCTCCCACGCCATTCTTGAAGAATGACAAAAGAACAAGAAGAAACAGATATCAAATCTCAGAGCACAACCCTACCAAATACATGATGCCATCTAGCTATCATATCTTCAGAAACAATCCCTCATGGAATTTAAAGGGGTTTTCCTGAAGTCTTTTTGATAACTTCCATAATCGAATTTCATGGCTATCAGTCATCAACTACTAGCATACATGCCAGGCCATGCTTCTCCATTGTCGTAAATTTTAAGCACATATCAGTTATGCATGTACGACGTGTTCGCATTCACATCACAGCAGGATTGAACTATGCAGTTCATGAGCTTTACGAATTTTCAGAATTTGATCTCATCTATGATCCAAATTCAATAATACAAAATACTTTTTTAGCAACATGGATCATCATTGAATCACTCATCCTTATTTCATGTGTAGGATCATGATACGCCTCCCATTATAATCCTTCGACCGGTAACACAGTGACGATCCATTGGTCCAACACTCGAACCTAAGAGATTAAGGAGGAGAAAGAAACAGAACAAAAGCTTACGTAATGGTCTCCGAGCTTGAAAGGAACCCACGACCCACGACCACCGAACCGGGTCACTGCCTCCTGAACCGACCCGAATGGCGGAGAAGTGTCGATTTCAGCTCTCAAGCTCACTCTCCTTATGCCCGGGCCTGGTGAGCTACTCGCCGGATCGACCCGGAACCCGAAAGGATCCGACCCGGTTTCGGCCCTCACTTCCCGGATCCCGGGTGTACCCGGAATCACCTCCGCCGTACGGTCCCGTCGCTCCTCCGACATCGCCACTTGGAGAAACCCAGCAATGGCTTTGCGAATTCAAAGCGAAAGGGATTTAAAGAGAAACCCATTACCGTAATCATCATCATTAATTACTAACAAAAAAAAAATTGATACTGAGCAACAACCAAAAAAAGTGATTTGAGAAAAAAAAGTAAAGAGCTTTTGGAGGTAGAATCGCTATGATTGTGTTTTCTCGTTTCCGAATTGCAAATTCGGGGAGAGTCAGCAGCAGGACCATGAAGAGAGAGAGAAATGGGGCGTAGAACACGTGGCGATATTGGAGTGGTTAGTCTCGAAAAAGTTGACTGTAGTGCTCAATGTTTGACCGATGTTGGGAAGGGTTCAGGTGAGAACGGGTGCACCGTATGGTTGACTGATGCTGATTTCAGGCCGTTGATTGCGGAGCTCAGGAAAGATTATTGGGAATTGCAGTTTCCGTGTTTTAGCTTTACGGAAAAGAGATTCGGGGAAGGGACCAAACCCGGCAAAACGACGAGTTTCGGTTGCCGACGATCTTCCTTATTATTATTTTTAATTTAATTATTTGATCGAGCAATTTCTACATTGTTATAGTGGTTGATTTTAAAATAGTTCTATTGATTTACTCTATAATATATTTGTGATATTATTATCAATTGGTGACAGGAAAAAAATGTGAAAATGTGATTTAATTGGGAGACATTCTTCTGTCACACAAGAGCAAGAGGTTAAAAGAAATCATTGTTATAATGAATTTTTTTTGGCATTATTACCACAACTACCATATCTGTTATTTTATTTATTTAGCTTTGTGGCCTCAAGGTTTTTTTTTTTTTTAATATACACCGCTGATTTTTAATTATTTTATGATAAAGACGTTTTATGAGAAACTAAAAGATTTGATACCATTGGATCGATATCGATTATGATTATAAATAACTATTATTTATAAAAAAAAATAAGGCCAAGCTAATAAATTTCTTTACTCAGAATATATACGTGGGGACTTTATTCTGCTTTGTTTTAATATTTTTTTACAGCCCGATTCTCTGGAATTCTATATTTTACTGTTTACAAGAATTAAAATTGATGATTATGTAAATACAACCAACTTATTCTCCGAACGTACAGTCACGAGGCTTATCATCATTGTAATTAATCCCATAATGGTAATTAAGCCGCGACATAGATTGTTTGTTAGGTAAGCCGTCGCTGCATAGAATAATTGCGGGATATATTTTCGTCGTACGGTCCTATAAAATCCCACTACATGACAAGATATCATTAAAACATAATACACATACGAGTCGCATAACTCCTTTGATATTTCATAATTTCATTAGATTAAAAACAATCCAATAAGGCAATAAGATCCGAAGAAGCTTATCGACATAAATGTTTATGGAGTGAATATATAATGTTAACATGCTATTGAACAATTTAGATTCAAAGATAGAAAATTCGGGATTTTGAATCTCAGTCACGAGACTTTTGAATCTCAGTTATTCGAGTATCGGATGATTCAAAATTAGATTTATTTATATAGTATGTTATGGATATACATTCATTTTTTTTTTCAAATAAATGGTCCTAAGGGTTAAGTTAATACTTCGGCACTTATTCAATATATGTGGTTTCATAATGTCAATCGCTTAAAAAACATATTCTTTTCAAGTTAGATTTTTTTTTTTGGTTAAGCGAATATTTTGAATCAAATTCCTGGCTAACTATGGAATCGGAAACTATAATGTGATTTGGATTATATGTTCTTTCTTCGGATTTGAGATTCGAATTCATGACGAGAAAAACAGTTTTCGGCTCGTTTTACCGTTTCAATTAACCATGTTTGGGTAAATTAAAACGTTATGTTTATATAAAATGATGAATTCAAATATTGTGTGTATATAATATATATATATATATATATATATTATATAATATTATCATGGTATTAGTGTGTGCATAAATGTTGTAATTTTTTTTGTGCTACACATGCGGGGACGTCATTGGATTGGTAAAATATTTATTAAAAAAATTAAGAATGGTTGCTTAAGACTCACTCTTAATCAAGGGTTTTGACGCAATAATCTATGGGCTCATGTTGGGTGGGCTTCACTCGATACGGATCATTCACGTTTGCACGTGCCAGAAACAAAAGACACGTGCTTCGAGGTCTCCACACCACCCGATTAACTGGCTTAATTCACTCACAAATTTCAGCTATAATTTTTTTTTAAAAAAAAGCATTTTTAAATCATGATATACAATACTTTAGGACTATATAGATTTAAATACAAAAATATTTATGTTGAGGATAAAATGAATAAATTACTTATATACGGTTGATTTGTATTCAAATTTAGTTCTCAAATTAAATTAATTTTTCATTTTTAAAACCTTAATACTAGTATTTATATCATCGGGATATCTTATATATATAAAAGTACAGTTTGAAACGAGAGGGTGACACGTGTACTTTTGTTAAGAATATAAATAGTTTTTTTTGTTTTGCCTTCTCATAATGGCGTCAAATAGAGAGGAAAATTAAGAATAGTTTAATTGTCTATGCATTAATCACAAAGTCCGAGGAGCCAATCGAAGTTAAGTTAATTTGTTAAAGAAATAGCCAAAATCAATGGATTTTTTTGTATCATCCAATCTATTGGTATTACAGCTATAATACAGAAAAAGTCTATTCTATTCAACGCATTTAATATTATTTTATATTCATATTCAGTCTTTATTTGTCTAAATTTAATGGTAGTATAAATATTCTCTGTAACACACATGTCAAAAACTATTAATAAGGCTCAAATTTTTTTGAAACGGTTCAAGGTCGTCTTTCATCATTTAAATTTGTTAATGCAATAATTTATTTAAAATGAGTTTTAAATTCATTGAACATTAGTTATTTCAATTTAAAAAATTCTACACTATAAAATGGCTAATATGCTCTCTAGATTTCATCAATCCATCGATCAACTTCATGTTTTAAGGTGTTTAGGATCAAAGATCCAACCCAATTGTTTCGATATATTATTATATATATTTTTTACATAATTGTTTTCCTATTTTTGATGACTAATATACATCAGGTGAGTTGGATGAAGTTCTCGGTGAGTAAAAATCCATTGTTAAGGTTTATGTTCTCGGTGAGTAAAAATCCAACCGAAAACATGATCATCATAAATGGCAATATATATATATATCTTATATATATATATATATATATATGTAAAAAGGTTCAATACTTATTCCAATAGATATATGGGAAAGATACGGAGGTTCTTATTGTGTTTAAATACTGCGCTGTGAAAACACATAGGTGAGTCCGGAACAGGTTACCGGAAAGAGACGAAGAACAGAATTGTACGTAGCTCAGTGCTAGCTCCGAAGACGATGGTGATCGGGATGATGATGGAGGATGGAGGTCGAGGAGGAAAAGCATTACATACTCGGGGACACATGGTGTAGAATCGTTCGGATCTCGCCATGGGAAATCTCACTCTTTTGTGGTGGAAAAACACATATTCAAATATTAGTTCCATTTATTTTGTTATAATTTCAACTAAATTTGGTTTATGTTTAGATTAAATTGCGTTTTTAATCAATTTTTTTAATTTGGATTTATTTAATATTTTATTATTTTATGTGTTCATTTTTATCTTAAATGTATATCATATATTATTTTTATATCATATTTGTGGATCATATCATGACTTAAATCATTATTTGAAAGAAAACTTTTTAGATACGTCTTCATATTCGACTCCGTTATATGTCTGCTGCTTTTCTCTAATCATCTCGCATATTCCATATAAAATATTGTTATTTCTTATTTATATAAAAATAAATACTAACAATAATAACTAGAATAATTTTAATTAAAAATCTATCCCAACTGGACCACAACTAACCTATGAATATTAATAAATATATATATACATGTATACATTCATATATATATATATATTTATATATACATATATCTATATACATATGTATGTACATATATCTATGAGTGGATTTAGAAAGCAATTTAATCGGAGCATATATTTGCATATCATAATAAGTGGAGGGACAACATTCCTTTCCGTTAAATTTTGTTAAATTAATAAAAAAAAATTATTTTTTCCGAAATTATTGGGATACAACTATTGAATAAAAAAAATTGGGATGTAACACAAATATTGGTGAGAATCCAATGCCCAAAAAACTCAAATCTGTAACCATCTATGCACCCTACCTCTTTTATCACTGAACCGTCATTGGTTGTCCACTGATTCCATTATAAAAAAAGAGGCCATTAAAAACTCCTGCATGTAACCTAATCGGTTGTAAAGTGGCTCTACCTTTTATATATCTATTTGTGTGTATATATAAAGATATATATATATATATATATGTGTATATATATGTACTTATATATATATGTGTAGATGTGTGTATATATATATATATTTATATGTATATATGTATGTGTAGATGTATATTCATGCATGTATATATGCATGGATATATATGTGTATATATATGTATATATACATATGTATATATCTATTTATCTATATATATATCTAATAATTTTTCTATTATATATATTGTTATTTTTTGTCACAAATTTAGAAAAATACAAAATTTTGGTTGGGACAATCGGTACAGATAATCGGTTAATTATACCGGTTTAAATATTTTAATGGTTAATTAAAAAATATATTACACTCAATGATTTGTACAGTGAAGAAGAATTGATTACTTATCTTTATTTTACAATATAATTTGTATTAATATATAGGTATATTTGTTCATTTCATTTTATTATCAAGATACTCTTTTAAAAAAATTATAAAGGTAACTCATCTTCCCACATAAATTTATTTTCAAAATAGTTATATTTTTTAATATCAATGATATTATTTCTTCTTTTATTTATAATTTGAATACTGATAATTTTTTTTATAAAAAAATTATATAAAATATTATAAATAGTTTTTCTATTGATACTTGAAGTAACTTATGAATATGTAACGAGTTCAACGAACACCATAAAAACTGTTAAAATTTTGATGAGGGATATATGAAATATCAGCTTAGAAATCCCCTATCTATCATTGGATTTTTGTTTTGAAAGTTTTTCAAAAGATTTTGAAGTGTGTATTCCAAATAAAAAGTTAATCATGTCAAGAGTTATGTCAAAATTCAGATCTGGTAAATGTC